ATTTTTTCTTTCACTTTTCGCCATATATCTTCTTTGGCTTCTTTAATAGCTGAAAATTGAAAAGGTGTTCTAATGTCTCTTCTTGAAATTCACATACTGGTCAAGTCATTATAGTATAAATATCTGATCTCCTTTTCTTAAGTATCTGCAGTACTGGAAGTTTATTGTGGGTTAAGTTAGTTAGAAAGCTTTGTCATTATTAATTTTGAAAGAAGTATCGAAAGTGTTAAATAGATTGAATTAATTCCAGAAAATTGATCAATCTATTATTTTATCTTTTTGAATCCATAGTTCTTGAATTCTTTTCTGTGTTATCCAGTCTTTTCTAATTCTTTTTCTGTTAAATGTTTAACAAATTCTCTAATACTAACCTTTATTGTATATTCGCTCCATGTAGCTATTGTAAAAACTTTTCTAACTCTGATAGTTGATTCAAGATTATCAGATTCTTATGTCTAGCTTGTTTGGCAAGTAGATCTAACTGATTATTGAACTTGTTGGTCCTATGAGCCTTAACCTTTATAATTTCCAAGATAAAATCTTTTTTTTTTACTAGATCTTTGATCTTACTTCATATTGGTCAGTTGGAAGTCTTTGTCCATCTTCTTATTGATATCTCTATTTGTAAACTGATAGACTTTCATGTCTTAACTATAATATTACAAGTAGTGAAAATTAAGACCTTTGTATTTTGAGAAGCAGTGAATAGTGCAGTAAGGATGACCAATAATTCTGCCCTAGCTGCTGATGGTCATATTGATGCCCCTGCTAAAAATTGTTTTTCAACTTTGCTATCTTCTATTAAAACCCAAGCAAATCCCATTTCAAGTTCACCATCTTTTGTTCATTTTTTATAAAGTCATCTGTATAAAAAGTGAACTAATTAGTCATGCTCCTTCTATTGTATTGCAGAATATCTGCAGATTCTTCTATATGTTTATCTGATTGAATGGTTTGTCTTATTAGTTCAGCTTCCCAGTTTTCTATCTAGATTTTCACTTTTATAGGTTTGAAAATAGGTGAAGTTAATATCTGTTGCTTTGTAGTTATTTGCATCTGTGGGATTGCTTGGTAAAAGAACTTGTTTTCCTTTTTCAGATTTTTATATCTATTTAGTTGTGGGATGAGATGGATTTGTGATGAAACTATTTTTAAGGCTTGAGATGATCTATCTGATTGAAGTAGGGTATAGTTTCTAATAGAATCATATGATGACTGGTATTGGGAGAACTATATTTTGTTATTTGAGAATGACATTTTTCCTAATATATTAGTCGAAAAGCTAGAGTAAACTGTCCAGTATGTTTTTCCAATCTAGTCCATGTAATAATTTTCTTAAGTAATCTGGATTATCTGTCACCTTTTCGTGAATCTTTTTGTATCAAGAGGGGACTGATCCTTTGCATTGTTAAAGAAAATCTGAATTTTCTCCATTCCTTGTGTGTCATTGTGGTTGTATTGATAATTTGATCCAAAAATATGATTTTATGCTTACGTAGTGATGGAATGGCTTTTTCATATTCTCTATTATTTTGTAGGATTGACTTGATAGATAGAATACCTCCCTGGTAGTTGAAGATTTTCTTTCATCTTCAACTTTAAAACGTAATCTGTAGGTCTTTGACCAGGACCAATGTTGCAATTGCCAGATTGTCTTTGATCAGCTTGTGTGAGTCTACAAGATTATTAAAGATATTTTCAGGTTCTTAGCTTTTAATCTGACTCTGTTTAAATCAGATTATGGTTGCCATTTCAGGGGCTTTACTATTGCTAAGTTGACAAAATAGTATTAGTATATAGCTTTTCAATTGTATTTCTCAAATACTTTTAAGACCATATATTTCTTTGTTGTGGATACAATTGTTTGAAATTGTTTTACAAATTAAAGCTTTGTTCTTGAAAACTTTCCTGAATATAGCTGTTAGGTTATCACATATCTTTTTATTCAGATGTATATGTTGCATTATATATATTATTCTTGTAATCAAAACTCTATTTATGACATATTAAACATGTTTTTCTGCCAATTTTTTTTTAGTTATTGTCTGAACTACCACTCTAATTTCTGATTTTATTGACCTAATCATATCATAATTCTTCTGTTTTGATTCTAATAAAATACCAAGGAAGATGGCTTGATTTTTTTTGTTGTTCTCATGAACTATGGTATTCTCTATTCCAGCTTGAATTATTCTAGGGTCTTGAGAATTATGATTAATAGTGAGGATAATTGACTTTGTCATATTAATTTGTGAGTCATTTGCTATATAGAACTTTTTTGCTTCTTCTAAAATACTTTCTAGGTCTTTTTTTAATTTGGCAATCCAGGTAGTATCATTCATATATGCAATTACTGCCTGCTATAGAGAGATCATGGTCTTTTTTTCAGGTTTGTGAAAATTAAATGATTATTCTTCTTTTATAGTATAATCCAGTGTAGTGTTATTTTGAATTTTACATAGCAATAGATCATAAAAAATTATCCATAATAGTAGAGAGATCATTTCTCCTTGATCTATATCATCTCCAGCAAGTATTGTATTGAAGAGTCCATTGGAAAGAATAATGCTACAACTTCTGTCTTTGAAAAAATCTATTATAATCTTCTTAATAGTTGTTGGAATTTGAATCTGATCTATAGCATTTTCAAGTATAAAGAGAGATATTGTATCATATGCCTTAGCAGTGTCTTGAAAAAAGATCTATAGTTTTTTTTTTTTCTCTTACTTCTTCACAAATACTATTCAATAGATGAATGGGTTCTGTTGTGCTTTCTTCTGGTAGACTAGCAAAGTTTGGACCTTTAAGGATTTTATACTATTTACATATTATTGATAAATGATTGGTAAGAATCTTGGTAAAACATTTTCAAGCAGTTTCAAGGAGAACAATTGATCATGTGTTGCTCAATTGACATCTCTAGGGCTTGAGTTTAGGAATATGATAGATATTACTACTTTTTCATTTCTTAGGTATTTGTCTAGTACTTAAAACTTTGTTGAACATAAACATAGGATCTCTTTGTCTTTAGTACCTAAGTGTTTGATCATTTCACAACTAATATATGATGGACCAGTTGCCTTTTTGTTTGGAAGGTATTGTAAAGTAGTTTCGAGTTCCTCTATTTTGATTTTCTTTATTAATAATGAATATCATATTGGATCAATCCATTCTTTAAGTTGATATTCTTTTTTCCAAGAGGAATCTAGACTTTTAAAGTTGGTATTTCTTTGTTTAAAAGCTTCTTTATAATAATCTTCAGTCTTTCATTTAATGGTTTAAGGATTAGTAATTATATATTATTTTTTCCTGATTCTTGGTTAAAACTCGGTTTAGTGTGATTTTGGTTCTTTTGCGGTTCAGAATAGAGCTTAGCATCCATTTTTAATTAAATTTGAGGTCTTTACATCTGTTTTTTAGGGCTTCTTTAATTTGGTTTCTGATATGAAGACTTTCTTCTTGCATATTATTTGAAGGGTATACTCTATCTTAGTAACTTTTGACAATAACTCTAAAATTTCTTATTGTGACTAGGGAGGAGTTATTTCTTTATTGATAGATTTATCAAGACTTCTTAATTTTTGGATGGTTTTTTCTATATTCTTTAGAATTTTAACATCCCAGTTGGCTTGTAATTTCTTTAGAAGAAAGTATATGAAACTAGTTAGATAATAAATATTTTACTATAGTGAGTTTTTTTAAAAATAATTAATTCAAGTCAAAAAAATTTTTTTAAATTATAAAATTCTTAAAGATTTTTAATGATATAATAATGTATTTAATATAATTTATTTAATTCTTGTTTTGTAAATTTAAATTTAAAAAATTTTCAAAAAATTCAAAAATATTAAATTGATTTCTTCTTTTTACTAAACCTAAATAAATTATATAACTAAAAATTTTTTATTGATAAAATAATTGGAAATTTTTATTTTACTTATCTCTTTATTTTATTATAAAATTTTTGTAATGCTATATATTTAAAATCAATATTTTTTTTAAAAAAGTTTTTTTTTTTAAAAAAATATTCTTGTCATTTATATTCTTAACTAAATTTTTATTAAATTTTATTTAAAAAGTATTGAATTATAAGTCAACATAAAACAAAAAAATGAGGGCAAAAAATTTTGTCTCACTGTATATTAATTTGGTAATTAATATGGGCGGTTTTAAAGTTGTTCAGAACACTAAAACCCAATAAATCCGCTCATACGTATAAAATTGTTGCAGTTATCAATGATCATTTATTGATTTAAGGTTTAAAAAGTTATGCAGTGTAAGGTATTGCGTGGTAACCAAAAAGCAATGGTGTGTTAGTTCTTAGTCAATAAGGCTGTCGCGACAAGTATACTATGTTAAAAAAAAAAAAAAAACTCAATTCAAGTGGGTCAAAAGAGCATGTGAAAATCGGACGAATTCATTTACAATTCGCTTAAATATTAAGGGGTAGAAAGTTTGTATCCAAGTATCACAAGAGGAAACTCGTACTGAACGTGAGACCTGAGTACGGATTTGAGTTACGACGTACAACGAACATCGACTTGGAACCTCTTAAACTTTTATAAAGTCATTAGAGTTTTGTGTAAGTGAACCGAATAATTTCCCGGAGTCCATTTTTGAGTTCGATTAGATGATTTGGTATATTCGAGGTTTCTTTACGACATACAGTATATTGTACCTGATAATTAATTACGGTACAGGTTTTTCAATCGAGTATACATGGGACTGAATGTAAAAGAGAAACGTGGTTTTAATTTTTTTACTTCTCATATAAATTGATTATGGAATAAAAAAAAAATATAATAAATAAAATTTTTTTATTGCGTTATTTTGTTTCCTTAGAAAACATAAAAGTGATAGAAATTCTGAAAGATGTAATTTATAATTTATATCGCATAAAAAATGAATGCAGTAACATGCGTCAATTTTACAAAAATGACAATACTAATACAATCTTAATAAACCCTTCGTAGTAATGATCACTAAATCGAATAACTTTACTACTGTAGCTCGACTACTGTTGTTGTCATTATTTTCTCTTGAAGATCATTAGGCGGAATCTTAAAATGGACGGCCGGGGCCGTATGATCCGAAAGCGCGTCATTAATTTCGATCACTAGTAGTGCTTGTGAGGAAAATTTTGGAACTGCTTTTCCACAGATGGACCCATTCGTACCTGCCTTCATATTAATGTCGATATGAGTCATAACAGGACGCCACGCAAGCTTCCAGTTCGCAGTAGGGTTATCTCGAGCGTTATATTGATCGAACAATTGCTTTAAGACAGCAGAGAATTCTCTCGCACGACGTTCCGATATTTCCTTAATTATGACTCTTAATGCGATGTACGAGGCAGAAAAGAAAATTTCGAGTATAAAGCAAACTAAGGGGCCAGAAAAGGACCCACTTTGAGCGCTCGTGAAACTAGTGGCAGCAATTATTAAAGCCATGAGCCCAGTTGTTAAGCCGTAGCTCCAGTCGCTAAAAGATTTAATTCTCCTGCTCAATAGTGGAACATTGCGGACAGCAAAATTGATTTCCTTAAGTCTATTTTCGAATTCCTCGGGAGTTAGAAACCCGTAGAAATCAAGAGTCCAGTCCGTGTCAAATTCACTTTTAGGGTTAAAGTAATTACATTTGTTGAAAGAAATCTTTCTTCTACAACAGGGATTTTGAGTACCTTCATCGCGTGCTATAAGCAGGAGCAGATATTCTACAGCAAGATGTGGAGGCCTCATTATTATATAGAATTTATTATAATGGAAGTGTGTTACATTAAATAACTTAAAGGCATGGTTATAATTAAGGCTAGACTCGCAAGAAAAGGTGGCACTAATCAACATTAAAGGATTTTTAGAAGGCACAGAAATTTGATAGGAAATTCAATTTGTTTTACAATTTCAAATTTAGGCCGCAATAACGTATGCGGCATCGTCTTTCATTATAGAAATTCCTAATATGAACAAATAATGAGCGCGCATTATTTGTTTATCTATTCATTTTGCCATCATTGTGAACTCTCCTGACAAAGGGATATTAAATTATCGAATCATGTAGTTTTAATAACAATATCAGTAAAAAGACAAATGGTACACCTTCAAAATTATGCATATTGTGGTTTGTGGTGAACTCTATTCGAGATGAATATGTTCAAAAAAAACACAAATTGCACCAGTGTCCTCATTGTTACAATCTAGATTTGAGCACGTGAATTAAGGAATACGTACGTACACTTTACTGTATGCCGTATTTCGTATTTAAAATTCAGTATTTTTTTCAAAAATTGTTATTTTAATTAATTTAATGATTTTACGAATTTCTTTTGTTAATAATATATTATTTAATAAAATTGATATAATTTATTGACATAGATAGAAATAAATAAAATCAACAATTTATTTATTACTATATTAAATATAATTAATAGTTAAATATATAATGATTAGATATAAAAATAAGTATTGTAATGTTTAATTAAAGATATCAAACTTTTTTTTTTTTTTTTTTAAAAAAATTATTATTACTATTTTATTTATCAATTTTATTATTATAATTTATATTGTAAAAAGATATTGGAATTTGTAAGTGCATGATTTTTGAACAATTCAATTTTTCGCAAATAGAGAAAGATAGAATGTATGAATTTAAAAAAAATTTTTTAAATCAATCTTTTTGTTTAATTATTTATAACTTAAATCTGAATACATTATTTTATTATATAGGTTACTGTCAATAAAAATATTTTTAGAATTTAGAATGCATATAATCAATTATAAATTCAAATTATCTAAAGTAAACAATGCTTTGATCATCTTTAAAAAAAATAAGAAATATATAATTCAATATGAGAACAAGAATGACTATAACTACAATAGTTAATAATTTGTGGCAAATGATGGTAATAAATTGATTTTGATTGATATGTAAAAATAATAATATAGAGACGTGTTGTAATCTTATAAAGTGTATTAACTTAATTGACGTATTGTAATTGAATTTTAACGTGATTTTATAATATATCTCTTCTAATCTATATATTGAAAAAAATTTTTGGACTAAAATCTTTCACTTTTTCTGATATTTCAGTTCCCAATCCTAATAAAAATGTTTAGACGATAATTATAAATTTGAACATTATATTCTTGATTTTTAATGTTTTGGGATTTTTTTATTTGATGGAAACACAAATTTTGTCGAAGATAGACTGAGTATGGTCATCGACTGTCACAAATGACAATGCAATGTTACTACGGTATATGCTTTGACAAGTAAATAAACACAAAAAGAGGTCAATGAGGGTCTCGAAAATAGCAAAAGAGCGAATTCAATGAGTCTTAAATAAAAGGAGAGTCTTGGTGACAAAGAAGCTTAGTGTGAGAGAAATTAATCAAAAATTCCGCGTCTCGAGCCTTGGAGTATGTTCATGTTTGGCTGATTTTTTTTTTCTCAAGTTACGTGAAACAGACCGATTAGACTCACCATGTTCTAATTTAATGGCATCCTCTTCTATTTTGTTTGATTCTATCTCTTTTTTTTTATTATTTTTATTTTTATTATATTTATTATATTTTTTTTTTCGCATTTTACCATCTCTTACTGCCTTCTTCATTCTTTTCACACTTCCTAAATTATATTTAAGGCTTTTTATTTATTTATCGCATATGAACCCCCGTTAGTTTATTACACTAGATACAGTATTATGCCAAAAATGATACTATTCCTAATGATGTGCATCTGCCACATGCATAAAAATTTTTAAGTAACTTTAGGCGTGCATGCATTAATATAAACATTAAAAACGGATTTCAGGATTAAATCCTGTTTAGAATGTATTTTATTTATTTTGTAAGCAAAGCAGATTACGTATACTGTATACAGGTGCTCACTGTATGTACACTCACCTGCCAAAAATATTTGACATGTTAATCATCGCAATTTTTAAATTTAAAGTTGATTTTGTTTTTATTATTATTAAAGAATTTACTAAATAGCTTTTAATAAAATTTATATTAATATGTTTATAAAGTTTTGAATTTTTTTTTATTAATACTATTAATATATTGTTTGATTTTCATTACTTTCTATTACAATCTGAATTTTTTTTTTTGACACTTTCTATTAAATTTTCTAAATTTTCTAATTTGATTTGATTTTATTTTTCTTTTAAAATAATCATTCATTATATAAGATTTTTTGGATATAAATTATGTTTATAAACTCTTTTTTCTAAAATATCCCATAAATACTCAATTGGATTAAGATTTGGTAATTGTGTAAGTCAAGAAATATTTGTTATCAAATTATTTTCTCATTACTATTTAACTATTTTTGCTTAATGAATTAAAACATTGTTATCTTAAAAAATATATTTCAAATTATTATTTAATTTATCAATAAAAGATAAAAAATTATTTTTTAAGACTTTGATATATATAGACCTTTTAATTTTATAAGAAACTTAAATCAAAAATTCAATTCTATTTTTTGTAAAATACCCCTATACCATTATATCTTGATTTTGTGATTTTATTATTGAAATTAAACAACTTATATATATATATTTCATGTGAACATCACCAAATCCAATAATGTGGGTTATTTTAAAATATTAAAAATAAAATTTATCATTTCAAATTATTGTATTTATTTCATTTTAATTTCAATTTTATCTAATATAATACTATTCTAATTTTTTTTCCAATTTTATTCATTATTAAAAGTTTTTTTTTCCAGCTCAATTATAAAATCTTTCATTATATAAATACATTGAATAGTATAAAAATTTATTAAGATTTTTAATAATTGACTAATTTTTTCTGTTATTTTATTTAAAAATTATTGTCAATTTCCTTTTTTTTATAATTTTTATAAAATCTCTTTATCAATTTAATTGTTTATTAGACTTAAAAATAATATTAATTTATTAATTTATATTATATTTTTCACTAATATCACAAATAATTATTTTTGAATAATTAAAAATATCTTTAATATTAAATTTACTATAATTATCTTTCTATAGATCAATAATTTTACTATATTCAAAATCAGTAAGTTTATAAGTTTTAAATATTTATTAATTTTTTTTATTTTTAAATAAATAAAGTTATTAATTAAGCATAAAAAAATTTAAATACATTTTTAATATTAAATTTAAAGTTATTCACGAATAAAATTTGATTTTTAAAATAATAATTTTTATTTGATTGAATATTTTTGTCGGCTACTTGTACAATATATATTTACTTTTCCAAATTAAAATTATATTTAAAAATAATATTAATATTATTTTTATATATTATTTTTAACAAAAGAATATAAAAAAACCATCAATTAATTTATTATATAAAGAACCTTTTATCTTTTATTTCAAAAAAAAAAAAGAATTATATAAACAATAAAAATAATTATGAAAATTATTTAAAATTTGTTTTTACCATTATTGCTTGTATTATATTTTTATTCTATTATTACTAAACAAAAAAATCCAATCAAATAAATAAAAAACCTATAGAAGAGTCTTTTCTATTCAATAATACCTACACTATCCTTATATATATATTTGATTATTATTTATATAATAATAATAAAAAAGGATACTATCCTAATAGTTGGTTTTGTATATCTAATTATCAATGTAGTTAAAAATCTTCTGTTACAACTATTTCAAATATATCTCTAAATAATTTAGCTTCTATCTTTTTTATTGTTACTTGTCTATTAAGTTCTTATCAATACAATAATAACAAAGATAGATATTGGCCTAATAACTGATATCAAATTTTTAATTACTAATATATTCAAGAATTTTCTATTACAATTACTTCAGATTTATCTATAAATTCTTTAACTATACTTATTTCTTAAATTATTTCAATTATATAAATAATTATATCAATTAAATAAATAACTACCTCAATTGCTTCCATATATTCTAATATTGAAATAACTTTATACAATAAAACTAACTTAATTAATAAAAAAATAAGATAATCTAACAATTTATCATTAGTCATCTTAGTTATACATATTTATTTAAGTTTTAAATTTAATAATATTGATGCTTATATATATTAATTCTAAATTTCAAAAAAAAAACTCTTTTCCACTCGCATCCAAATTTCTGAAAATTTCCTTTTATGATAACAACCCAAAACATAGAAGAAAAAACAAAATGCTCGTAATGTGCAACCACCACCAACATGTCACGAAAGTCGACCAGGGCAAGAAACCCAATGGTTAGCTATACAGGAAAAAGAATCATCACAGGTAGTAGTAAAATCTCCAAACTGCTCCTGAAAACCAAACTCGCAAGTAAATTTAGTCATCTAACTGGCATTAAGAAAAACCGTACAGTGACGGAAAAAGAGAAAGTGAAGAAAATACCAGAGATTCCCTTGATCAATACACAAACTACAGACATCCCAGAGCTCAAAACGATAGAAAAAGATAAAGACCTGGATCAAGAGATAGATATCTCAATCACTTCATCGCCAACAGAGAAAAGAGAAACTGAGACAAGATTACAGTCTCCATTGACAGTAACCTCAGCAACACCACCGACAAGAGAGAAAAAAGAGAACCTAACGAATAACAATAATATTACCCTGAACAGTTTCAGTTATGACAACACCCCTAATAAAATAGTAGGAGTAACAAAACAAACAGGAATCCAAGAAATCGGAAGCACCTTTTGTCCAGGAAAAGTCGTCATTGAGCTGGAAGCAGTATCAGGAAC